ATCCCCTCTGTGCTTCCTGACTGGGGACATGATATGGCCAGCCACCTTACACATCTGTCACCATGATTTCTCCACCACAACAGACTGCATCCCAAAACTTGCTTTCTCGCAAGCCAGAAACCCTTACTTCCTTCAATCGCTTTTGCTGTTGTCTCAGCGATGAGAAAGGTAACGGATCCAGGGGCCACATTTACAGTCTGACTTAGCAGGATGGAGGAGGTTGAGTGTCTCGGTCTCTTTAGAATTCCTCCAGAAACCAAATGCTGGCCGGTCTGGGGGAGACGCCTTCAGCACACCTTCTCTATCCCTCCCTACAGCGCCTCAGTTGGGGTTATCTGTTTCTAACTAAATCAATGTTGAATGTTTACATTATTATGTTTATTTAAGTGAGTCCTTGCCTGGGCCATGAAGTGACCTGCGCTTACATTTCTCCCAAAGCATATTTTTCTTCAAATTAATAACTGCCATGGTTTTTTATTTGTTTAGCTTTTGAAGCACTTGTTAATATTTCATTCCTAGATTCTGACAGCTGTAAAACTCTGTGGGCAGCGCTGTCAATTACACTTCAAAGAACTCCACGAGACTCTTTTATTAGATGTTAAAGGAGCCCAACCTTTTATTTCTTTTTTTTTTTTCTTTTTGAGATGGAAGTCTTACTATGTTGTTCTGACTGTCCTGGAACTACATATGATCCATGATGGCTTCTAACTCACAGAGACCCATCTGTCTCTGCCTCCTGAGTGCAGGGATTAAAGGTACATGTCACCATCTTATGCAGCAAGCCAGCTTCCAGTTTGTAGTAGAGCTGGGGGTGACCTTGAACTGCTAACCCTCTAGCCTCCACCTCCCATGAGCTGGCATTATAGGCCTGTACCAGTAGGAGAGACCCATGCTGGTTAGCTTTTGTTGGTGTGATATAACTAGAGTTATTTGGGAAGAGGGAACCTTGATTGGCCTGTGGGCAAGTCTGTGGGGTCATTTTCTTGATTAATGTTGAACTGGAAGGGACCAGCCCACTGTGGATGTGACCACTCCTGGACAAGTGGTCTGGGTTGTATAAAAATCAAGCTGAGAAGTCTTGGAAAGTAGGCCAGTAAGCAGTGTTCCATGGTTTTGCTTCAGTACCTGTCTCCAGGTTCCTGCCTTGACTTCCTGCTCTGGCTTCCCTCATTGATGGGCTGTAAAGTATAAGCTGAAATAAACCCTTTCCTCCCAAGTTGCTTTGAGTTATGATGTTTGTAAGGCCCATATTTCTACATGGTGTGACAGCCAACTTCTTGGGCCATGGCTAGTATCCAGAGCAGTCACGTGACCTTCCAGACAGGCTGTCTCTACCCTAACAAAAGGTCAAGATGTTGTTTTGCTCCTTTCTTTGTAATTTGGAGGATGCCTGATAGAGATGCTGATTCAAGCCTACATGCCAGCTAGCATACAGAGCAGACAGGTAGATGTGGACATGACTAAAAGCCATTCACCTAGTTACCTAGGAGACAGACTACTAATGTAGTTACCCCTCAGTTTATGTTTGGATATATAAGGCTGTTTGGAGAATAAGGCAAGGGGAATTCTTCAGGATGTGAATTCAGGATATCATGAGTGATCTCTGAGAAAGAATCTCCCTCCCAATGAAGCCATGTGAGTTGTGTATTTATTCCCATGCCAGTCAAGAGAGAGATAGTTTATGTTGGGGTCTGGTCTAGGGAAATAATTTATGGTCTGGGCTAGCATTGAACCCCAACAGATGTTTAACACAGTAACAGAAACCTAGCCAGGGCAGGACATAAAATATTATTTTGAAGATTCATAAAAGATTCATAAAAGAAAAGAAGCCAAGGGCTGTGGAAGAACCCTTTTGTACACAGTGAAAATTTGTCACTTGGATTTGTTTAATAAAGGGCTAAGTGGCCAATAGCTAGGCAGGAAGAGGTTAGGCAGGAGAGCCAAACTGAGAGAACACTGGGAAGAAGTCATGTGAAATCACCAGCCATATGCAGAAGCAGGAGATGAATATGCGGTGCTGAAAAAAGGTACCACCATGTGGCAGAGCGTAGATAAGAAATATGGGTTAATTTAAAATGTAAGAGCTAGTTAGTAACAAGCCTAAGCTATTGGCTGAGCATTTATAATATAATTCAATTATTAATGAATAATAAGTCTCTTGTGGTTATTTGGGAGCCAGCTGAGTGGTGGGACAGAAAAACTCTGCCTACAGCCAAGGCTGATGGCAGAGGCCTGTAATCCTAGCCAGTTGGGAGGCTGAGGCAGGAGGATCTCAGGTTCAAGGCTAACCTGGGCTATTCTAAGAGATTTTGTTTCAAAATAAAAGTAAAATCCTGGGACTAGCACTCACTTAGAGCTTGTGCCTAGCAAGCTCAAGGTCTTGTGTTCATTACTATCAAAACAAACACAAGTTAAATTACATTTACCTACGTATGCATACATTTATGTGTGTGTGTGTGTACCACACACACGCATATGCATGCGCACGCGCACACACACACAGAAGTCAGAGGACAACTTGCAGAAATGGTTTCTCTTCTTTCACCATGTGCATCCCAGCAACTGAACTTCGGTTGTCATCATCGGTGTTAAGTGACTTTACCCTCCAAGTCATCTCTGCCAGCCAGTCCTCTTTAGCCTTTTCTACATAAACAGTACACCAGGGTTCCCTTTCTCCTAATCTGAAGGTTAAGCCCCCCCCCTTTTTTTTTTTTTGCTGTTCTTGCTTTAAGTAGCTCAGGAACTCATCATCCTCCTGTTTTAGGTTCTCAAGTGCTGGTGTAACAGAACCACCACACTCAGGAAGATTTTGGTTCTCAAAGGTATTAGCTTAGTATTTAGTGACATTTGCCTTCTCTGTATGACCTGTATCTTTCCTTCATCGGCCCCTCTGTCCCTCCCTGCCCCCTTGGTTTACTTGTGTATCCTGGCTGGTTTTTCACTTACTTTGTGAATCAAACTGGCCTCCAACTGTGGCAACCTCCTGTCTCTGCTTATTGAGTGCTGAGATTAAAAGCCGTGGCAACATGCTTGGCTTAAATTTTTTTTTTCTTGAGAGGAAATCTTGCTTATAGCTCCTCTTGAAGCTACAAAAATCACAATGTTTGGATTATATGGATGCCTCACTATGCCAATCCATATCTATCTCGTGGTGTGGGAGTCTCCTCTGTGCTGTGCTTACCATTAATGAATAAAGAAAGTGCTTTGGCCTGTTGATAGAGTAGAACTTAGGTAGGCTGGAGGACTGGTCTGAATTCTGGCAGAAGGAAGGGCGGAGTCGGGGAGACGCCATGGACCTGTGGCCAGAGGTAGATGTGTTGAAACTTTGTTGGGAGGCTGTGACCTAGTGGTGATGCACTGATTAATGAAGATGGATTAAATTAAGATGTAAGAGTTAGCCAATAAGAAGTTAGAGCTAATGGGCCAAGCAGTGATCTAATTAATACAGTTTCTGTGTGGATATTTTGGTTCTGGGTGGCTGGGAAGAACAAGCAGCTCCTTCTTACAATAATCTCATATCCATATCACATGCCTGCATTGCGCACTCATACATGCATGTGCGCGTGTGTCCCCCCCCCAAGGATGACCTTGAACTCCTGTCCTGGTCCTCTTGTCTCCATTTTCTAAGTGCTGAGATTACAGGTGTGTGATACAATGTGAGTTCATGTGGTGCTGGGAATCGAACCCAGTTGTGTGCACTATGTGAGCACTTGACCCACTCTCCAGCCTGCTATCATGTATCTGAACAATCTATATGTTATTTATATCTTTACAATATCTTATTATCTCTCATGTTTATCTAGATCATTTTTATACTACACCTATTGTTGATATCGCTTGCTTATATGTACCTATATGTATCATTCTAATGTGTTCATCTTGTATTTATGTGTTATATTCAGAATAACATTAATATTATTACAATATATTTACTGTAAGACTTTTTTAAAGCTAGATTCATTTTGGCTTTTGACTATAAGCACCTAAAGTCTAATACTTTATTCACTCACATTCATAGACGTTATCCAAATCACACAAGTACCCTTCCAAAATGGGGTACAGAACAATCCTTGGTATTGCTCAGGGAGATGCAAGCTCATGTAGGTCTTTCTGACTTGACAGATTCTAGTAACTTCAGACTTTCCCAGCTCTTTGCCTACAGTGTTCCACTGACAGATCTGTGCTTCATGAGATCCAGACCCAGCCAGGCTCAGACAGAACGGACAGGCCACATTTTTCTATCTATGACACCCACGAACAAGACTAAACATTGTCGCATCCAGGGAATAACGGCTCTATCATCCTCTGTCCTGTCCTCTAGTCCACCAGCCAGTTTCGTGTCTCAGCCAAAGATGAGACCTTCCATACCACCAGGTGGCGCTGTGAGTACACAAATCCCTAGCTCGGTTCAGTGGGAGATTAAGGGGAGAGAACAGCAGGGCTCGTTCAGTTCTCAAAAGTACCAAGGAGGGGCTGGAAGGATGGCCCTGGGGTGAAGAATGTGTACTGCTTTTGAAGAGAACTGAGTTTGGTTCCAAGCACCCATACCAGAGGTCTCACAACTGCCTGTGGTTCCCTCTCCAAGGGGATCAGCTGCCTGCCTTCTTGGTTCTGTGGGCACCCATACTCACTTGCACCCCCCCCCCACATACACATAAAACAGGTCTTAAAAAAAAGTTCTGAGTAGAGTGTGCTTAAGGTCTCCCCTTCCTAAAAGACCGAGGCTCAGGCAGGAGATGTAGCTGCTTAAGTTCCCGAAGCATATGCAGAGGAACTGGCAGATTGAGAGAATTAACTCACACAGGAGAGGGAAAACTGACCCTGATGGCATGGTTCTGCCCCCTTGCCTGAGTGGGGCCGTTCCATGGCCCAGACTGACCAGCTCAGCTGCTACTCAGGGCCACAGCCTGGTCTTGGGTTGGCCTATCTAGTGTTATGCCCAAATACGTGAAGTCCCCACAAAAGCCAACAAGGAGACCGAGTCCCATACATAAAAGCAAAGAGCCTTTATTTTAATCAAGTTTGCAAACTTGGGTCTCTTCACATGTCCAACGTACTGAAATAGCCGGAGAGCCCCAAAAGGTGGGGGTAAGGGGCTTCTGAGGTTCAGGACCCCTGACTGGCTGACATTTGTCTAGGGGTGTCCTGGTGCACTGGCAGGTGATCCTATCTACAGCAGTTAGAATGTTAGGCATTTTCTTTGAATGGTCTGTTCTAGGACGGTGGTCGGGTAATCTCAACTTGTGGATCCTCCTGCAACCAGGTATTGCCTCAGGGCAAACTACTCAGGCCTCTTATTAAATTTATGGATCACTGAGTTCTACTCTGGCAGCTGATAATGGTTGGAAGTAAAGAACTTCCTTTGGGCTGCTCCGGTTTTCTCTTTCTCTCGGGCCCGTGGCGTCGGCAAGATGGGCAAGTGTTGTGGTCTCCGTACTGCCAGGAAGCTCTGCAGCCACCGCCGGGACCAGAAGTGGCATGGCCAACAAGACAAGAAAGCCCACTTGGGCACAGCCCCGAAGGCCATTCCTTTAGGAGGTGCCTCTCATGCCGAGGGAATCGTGCTGGAAGAAGTAGGAGTTGAAGCCAAGCAGCCAAATTCTGCTATCAGGAAGTGTGTCAGGGTGCAGCTCATCAAGAATGGCAAGAAGATCACAGCTTTCATCCCCAATGATGGTTGCTTGAACTTCATTGAGGAAAACGACGAAGTTCTGGTTGCTGGATTTGGTCGAAAGGGTCATGCTGTAGGTGATATTCCTTGGAGTCCGCTTTAAGGTTGTTAAAGTAGCCAACGTGTCCCTTTTGGCCCTGTACAAAGGCAAAAAGGGAAGACCAAGATCCTAAATTTTGACAGTGGAAGCACAGTAATAAATTTTCCTATTCTGAAAATAAAAAAAGAACTTCCTTTGGGTGACATGCCCATATTTAGCTTATCATGGCTGGCCCCCAAACTAGGACCTGCTGGAGCTCGTGAACAACACCCACAGGATCTCCATGACCCAGGGCAGCCTGGGAATATCTGAGAGGAGTTCTGGTGAGGACCCCGTGATGATGGTGTACCAGAAACCAGAGGCCTTGAACCAGACCAGTGACTCACTGCAATGAACACTTGTTAATAAAGCTGATTGACACAACATGGCTCACAGAGCCACCAGGACTAATGGAGAGGTGTTAGAGAGGCAGGAAAGATGCAGGAGCAAATAAATAATTTATTTATTTATATTTAATTATGTATATCTTACTCTCCTGTTTCCTCTGTGTCTGCTGCCTGGCGGCTGCCTGGCTTCTGGCCTTAGGCATCTCCCTTTCTCCCTCCTTTTCTCTTGTTCCTCAAGCCTAGGTTTCTCCTCCTACTTCTCTGCCCACAGCTCCGCCTGTCCCTCTCCTGCCTAGCCAGTGACCATTCAGCTTTTTATTAGACCAATCAGGTGCCTTAGACAGGCAAGGTGAAACACCAACACAGCTTTTTGATGAGCAATTATGTGGCGGAGAAATGGGAAAAAAGCAGAATGGTTCATTGCTGTGGAAAAAGGTGGGATAGAAGAAGTGAAGGCAGTGAAGAGTGGGCTGGTATGGGAGGCCTTCACCATGACTCCGGGTAGCAAGACCTCCCACCTCAGTTTGCTCCTCATCATATGGGACCCACTTGCCTGGCACTGGCGTTTGCCTGTGGATGTCTTCCTTCCAGCCCAGGCCTTGAGGGCCCAGGCTGGCCAATGGTGCAATATATTTTAAACACCAATTTGTCCTTTTTTGTATGTGTATGCATGTCTTGCCTGCATGTAAGTCTGTGTAGCACTTATGTGGCTGTAGCACTTATGTGGCTGACTCCTCAAAGGCCAGAAGAGGGCACTGGATCCCCTGGAACTGGAATTGCAGACCACTGTGAATAGACATGTGGGTGCTGGGAATCAAACCTTGGTCCTCTGGAAGGGCAGCCACCGAGCCATTTCTCTAGCCCAACATTTTGCATTGTTTGCTGTGGTACAAGGGGACTATTTTTCTTTCTTGCTTTGACCAAATATTTTAATTAGCATTCTACAGATGTTTTAAAATACTTAATGGTTTTATTGTGGGGGAAGTTAAGGAGAACTTTTTACCCCAGATTCAAAGAGCTGCAGAGGGCAGGGGGTATGGTTAGCCTTCTCTGGGTTTACTAGGTAAATGGCAATTTCCTATGTATTAGGACCAGATGTTTTAAACAAGAACTGAGTTTTGATGAAAGGCACCCTGAAGTCCTAATGTAGCCTACTCCAGCTACCCTCTAATAGTTGGCTTATTTGAACATTTCTTGACAGAAACCAAACGACTTTTGGATGGGGAGATACACAGAGACAATCTGAGAATTGACTTCTTTTCTGGAAAAAAAAAAAACAGATCATAACTGGCTTTTAGGAATGTTTTTATTTGGAAGCCTACATTGGCCAAGTCAGGGCTGAACACACTTAACATTTTCTTGCTGAAACAATCTTATTATCAAAATTACGCGTTTTACTATTTCTTTCACAAAACATACAGCTACAGAGAACCTCACTGGGAAACTTAAAAAGTCACCACAACTTCTTTGACTAATCCATGGGTAGCGGAACACAGCTTCCATAACTGTGTCTCCCAGTACGATATAGAAGGATGCCCCCCCCCCCCACCTCATGGTGGTGGCTCATTTTGCTGGAAATCAACCTCTTGGAAGAACTAATCTTAAAGTTTCGTGAAGACGTCACCATCAGCCACATGTGGGGGAAGCCTCCTTTTCCTCCACTCTTCCTCTTCCATCTCTGCGAGGGCCGGTCCACCTTGGAGGTGGAGATGGTCCAAGCCTCCCGCTCCCAGCGGCTGGTCTGGTGGCATGCTCCACTCTGCTGGCTTCTGCTTGCTCCACTGGGGCTTTTCCATTGCAGGGCTTTCCCCTGGCGTTTTCCGCCACACCCTTCACACGCACGGGGTTTTCACGGCTGTGCAGTTACTTCTTTGGGATTTGTTGGTTTCCCAGGCTTTCCACAGAATGAGTTCCACTATTTGCCCGTACTTCACAAATAGAGCTAGAAGGGTTTTCTCTTTGAACTCTACTCAGTGAGCTACAGATGAGGTACTCTAGGCGCTCTGCTTCAGGCATTTTCTTCTCCCCAAACCAACTAGAGTAGGAACGGGTCTGGAAGGCCCTGTGCTCGGCTCTCGGTTTGTAAGACGGCTGCCAAGTCCTGGTGCCACCAAGAAAGGAAAAAGCCGCTAGGACCACTGAACAACCCACAAACTGCCAAAGGCAGGCGGGATTTGTTCACCACTCATCTCAGCCACTGGACACCCAGGGTTGAAACCTCTTTCTCCTCCACCTCGGGCGCTCAGGGGCAGTCCGAAGCCTAGCTGTGAGGAGCCCACATCAGAGCGCCTCCGCATATGGACCACAGTGCAGTTATAGCATCACTTCCTCCATACATATAGGTACTTCCGGTGACTCAGTATGCAGACGCTACCTGGCCCAGCCACTAGAGGGCGCTGCCACCCTGGACATTGGGCGAATACGGCCATTTGAGATGGTTTAGGATTTAAGACTGTCAATCAGATCCCAGTTGGGATTTCATTTCCAGCATGTACAATTTGTACGACCCTGGCCAAGGGGCTAGTTTTATGTCAACTTCTCACAAGCTAAGGTTATCTAAAAGAAGGGAAGCTCAATTGAGAAACTGCTTCTACAAGATCTGGATACTGGACATTTTCTTAATTATTGACTGATGGCGGGAGGACTCAGACCTGTTGGTCCTGGGTTCTGTAAGAAAGCAGGCTGAGCAAGAGAGAGGAAGAAGTTTGGGTGTTTGGATGGAATATTCTATAAGTGTTTGCTAAGTCCATTTGAGTCATAACATATGTTAGTTCTCTTATTTCTCTGTTCATTTTTTTTGTCTGATTGACCTGTCCAGGGGCAAGAGGGGAGTGTTGAAGTCTCTCACTATTAGTGTGTGGGGTTTAATACATGATTTAAGTTTTAGAAGTGTTTCTTTGACATATGAGGGTGCCCTTGTATTTGGGGCATAGATGTTCAGTATTGAAATTTCCTCTTGATGGATTTTTCCTGTGACTAATATGAAAAGACCTTCTTTGTCTCTTTTGACTGATTTTAGCTTGAAGTCTATTTTGTTAGATATTAGGATAGCTACACCTGCTTGGTTCTTGGGTCCCAACCCTTTACTCTGAGATGATGTCTGTCTTTGAGGTTGAGATGCGTTTCTTGTATGCAGAAGAAGGATGGATTCTGTTTTTGTATCCAATCTGTGAGCCTGTGCCTTTTTACAGGTGAGTTGAGTCCATTTACATTAAGGGATATTAATGACTAGTGGTTGTTATCTCCTGTTAATTTAGATTTCATCGTTGGTGATGTTTGTGCATTTTTTTTCTTCTTTGGGATTTGCTGTAATGAGATCATCAATTGTCTGTGTTTTTGTTGGTGTAGCTGTTAATGATTGTTCATATAAGCCACACCCATTCCCTCTCCCATCCTCTGAGGCAGGCTGATCTTCAGCTTCTGGCCTGAGCTCTCTCTCTTTTCCATCTTCCTCTCTGAGAGGCAGCTTCGCTTCTGCCTCTCTCTCTGCTTCTCTGCTCCCTCCTTCTCTGTCTCTCCCCCCACTTCCCTCTCTCTTTCTCTCTGTCCTCTTCTTCTTCTTCCCCTCCTCTCTCCTCTATGTAATAAATATCCAATTCTATCATGTACGATGTCTGTCCATGTGCCTCCTACCTGCTGCCTGCGCACACCACTGGGCTCGCAGGCACCAGTCTGCCCGCCATGTGTCTCCCTGCCTGGGACCAGCCACTGCTTGGGGACCGGCAGCTGTCTCTGCCTGGGACTGGCTGCTCCCAGAGCCTGCTGCCTGCTGCCACATGGCCCGCTACCACCATTTGGGGACCTAAAGCATTTCTTCTGCCTACTGCCACAGGGGATCTTGCAGCATTAAAAAAAATCATAACAGTAGCCATCTTCCTTGGGTTGGAATTTTCCTTCTAGTATTTTGTGTAGGGCTGGGTTTGTGGCTAGGTATTGGTGGAATGTAGGTTTGTCATGGAATATCAGTTCCTTCCACAAAATAAGAGGTTCCTAGGAATAGCTGGCTTCCTGGCTGGATCCCCTCTTTTTCTCTCCTTGCCTGCCCCTTATATGAGGCAGCTCTTGGATCTCTGCATGAGCCCCTCCTCCATCCCATTAATAAACTCTTTCAGAGACTCCAATAAGCCCTTATCTAGGCCCCAGCTCTTCATCTCCCAGATTTAACTTGTCCTTTCTCCCTCTATGTAACAGAGAAGGAGATCTATGCCCTTGGGGTCCTAGGACATCAGCTGGGACCTTCCTTTGCACCTGTAACATACCTGTCAAAGAAGCTGGACTTCAACACTCAGACTGGGCACCCTGAATATGTGCTTTAGTGGCTACTGAGCTTCTTATTTGCTTTTGCTGGTCCTTTCTCTCTTTCTTTAAAAATATTTTTGAGACAGGTTTTTTTTTTTTTAAGTTTTTCTAAAACTTGTATCTTAATTCAGATTAAGCAACATTTTTAGTGATAAAACAAAAATGGTAATGGTAATGCTGATAATGTTTATAATTGATATTACATAAATCCCGTCTAACTTAGTTATCCTCTCATTTAATTGTTCCATTTTCAAACTGTGTAGGGTATTATCATACAGAGACACAAATCCCTTTGATATAATGGTGTTTCCCTTTTTTATTGATTTTTTTTATTGAGCTCTACATTTTTTCCTGCTCCCATCCCTGCCTTCCCCCACCCCTCAACCCTCTCCCAGGGTTCCCATGCTCCCA